GAAATACAAGAGGCCAAAAATTTAATGTCTTTAGACAGTAGTTGCAACCTAAAAATGTCGTGTCTGCTTTTAGGGCCTTCACTGTAAATGATCTATACTCTGTCCGTGATGTATTGCTTTATCTTCCTACAAAGAAAGGCTTGCCTATCCACTGTCATACCATAGCCACCAAAAACAGATTGCAAAACTGAGGATATGTATATGAGTCATTGCTGGTTTGGAATGATGGCATTTATACTCTTTGTTCCATCTGGAATGTGGCAACTCACAGGACATGTGTTTTAAAAGGAAACAGGAAAGATTGCTTATTAAAACTAACACCTCTTCAGAGTTCATTGAAAATGCTTACTCTCTTACAGTAATTTGTTTTTTGATCTGTTTTTGTAGATGGAGACCAGTGCAGCTCAAATCCTTGTCAGTATGGTGGACATTGTAAAGATGCAATTGGTTCCTACACTTGCTCATGCTTGGATGGTTATCAAGGCAAGAACTGTGAATTTGGTAGGTTTCTGATTTAGAGAACTCTGACAGTGAATTTCCCAGGGAGCTGAAGCACGTTGGATGGTTATCAAGGCAAGAACTGTGAATTCGGTAGGTTTCTGAATTTCCCAGGGAGCTGAAGCACAGAGAGTTAACTCTTTCCTAATGAGTACTATTTGCCTCTTGGAAACATGCATGGGATGGGATGACAGTCAGCAATGAGTTGGAGGACAGGGCAAGAAACACAAAGTCCTGGTGGCTCTACAGCTGGGTAGTGTTAGAATCTTAGAATCATAGAATGGTTTGGGTTGGAAGGGACCTTTAAAGGTCAGCTAGTCCAACCCCTGCTGCAGTCAGCGAACTGGTTGCTTGGAGCACCATCCAACTGTGAATGCTCTGAAGTTATGCTTATTGCAAAGAAAGCCCTCTTAATTATGGCAGTGCCTGTTTACGTGAACTTGAATCCCCAAAACATGATGATAAAACTAAGAAGCATAGGATTCTTGTAAGTGGTATCAAAAAGCCTTTACTCCAAGTCCAGAAGTACAGCCTCCATGCTCAGCTCACAGCAGTGAAGAACCAAAGAAAGCAGATTTACATAGACAATGCAGACTTTTTCAGCCTTGCAAGGAGCCGTTTTTTTGCATATAAATCCTTCCTGAGTCTCACTGCTGGGGAATACAGCTACTAATGATGTCATTGGAGCATGTATTGGTAGCCTAGAAGTAAGAATAGTGAGCCCTGGGTAAGAGGATGTAGAACTGAAGTTCAGACACAAGACTGAGGGGAGTGATGAGGATTTGAGTTTATTAGGGGATTCTGAAATGGGAGGGAGGAATTGTGTGAGGATTTGCCAGTATCTGGACATCTCTGTTGGTGTTTCATCCATTCTTCCACCGTCATTTTGTCTCTGCTTTTTTAAAGCTCGCCATGACATGGCCACTGGCCCACTTGGACTTGGCAAGCATGTTTCATGCAGTGGATGTGGCTGCTTTGTAAGGCATAATCTAATATTGGCTACTCATGTTACTAAGATGTGCTTCAGGCATTTTTCAGGTGGAGATACAGATCCTGTTTAAAGAGAGTGGTTTGATTTAGTGAACTTCGAGGTCTTCTGTGAAGTCAGTGTTTATTTACAATTTTTTTCTCCAAACTTGCCTCTTTTGTAGTCATACCAAAGTACTGCAAAATAAACAATGGTGACTGTGAGCATTTCTGCAGCATCAAAAAAAGTGTGCAGAAGGATGTTTTGTGTTCTTGTGCAAAAGGGTACGTTCTAGCAGAAGATGGCAAGCGCTGTGTTTCATCAGGTATGAAGCCAAGTGATAAACTAATAGCAATTATGTTGAGACTTGTTTCACAGGTAAAGAATGGTTTTTGAACCATGAGGATTCTACATGACATAGATTTAACACTGAGGCCGACTGATTTGTATTTCCAAAGCCTTCCATGTGTGAGGTGATGTGATGGGCTTACCAAAATGTAGCTGATTTGGAACCCTTTGCAAGGTGCCTCTCACAGAATTACCTGAGTAAACTCCACTGTTGACAGGAGGAAAATGTTTGCAGTTATATCTTTTTTACTTAAACACTCCATATAAAATAGTAGCTCGCAAAAACTTTTCTACTTTAGATTTCAGTTAACATAATCAAGCAGTGACTGATGATATTAAGTAATTCTGATTAATGCTATTTACATTTGTATATTTCTGTTGTGTTTCGAAACACCTTGGGGGGAGGAATAAGTCAACCATGTACTCATGATGTCAATTTTTATATACTTTGTAACTAGTAATAAATTGCTATCGTGAACCATATTATTCCTAAAATAAAACACTTTACTCAGTTTCCTAATTAAGATGGTTTTAGTAAAAGCAAGTACATTAAATATAGCAATGTAAACAATTGAAGGTGATGTTTTAAATTTTAAATACTTTGAAAACACTATCAGGAGACTGAACCTATGGACAAGTTTTAAGACTAGAAAATGTCTTTCATTTTTAAAACCCTCTGCTCTTCCTTCTTTGTTGCATCTGCCAAGGCTTTGCTAGTGTTTTGAAAACAGGACAGCTGCATTAACTGATTTCTTGTGAGATAGTGTTGTCAGGGTGTTTCCTCTTGTGCTGGTGTTTCTGTCTGTCTCTAATTTTAACTTTGTTGTCTTTACAGTAAAGTATCCTTGTGGAAAAGTTTTTGTGAAAAGAAAAAAAAGATCGATTATTTTACCCGCTGATAATAGCAATGTAACTAGTGATCAAGATGGCCCTCCTACAAATGAAACAAGCTTGGAGGAGGACTTTGTTACTACCACAGAAAGCCCAACTGTCTGTCCTGGAAATGAAACAAGTGGCAAGACTCCATATGTCCATACGAGGATAGTAGGTGGTGATGAGTGTCTTCTTGGCGAATGCCCATGGCAGGTAAATCTGGTTGGTGTCTGTGCTCTGCATGTAAGCAGAACATGTTTCAGAGGGAGAGTGTGCAGTTGTTCATTTAACCCGGTTGCCTTCTGAATGTTGCCCATGTAGTATGCCTTTTGAAGCTGGAGCCAGCTGAATTGTGTAAACCTAGACACTGAGATGTGCTCTTCTGCAAACTTCAGCCTTAAAATGTCAAAATGAAAGGCTTTGTGCAATTCTAGGTGGTGTTGCTTAACCTGTCACCAGAGAGGGCCTTTGAGTCATGGTGGCGTACCAGTGTAATTTTTGCAGGCTGTATGCCAGTTCTGCTTGATAGCAGCCCATTCAAGTAGGGTACCTGTAGAGAGAGCATGACAGATAAAGCATGCATTTGCTTCACAAATAGGCTTTCATGTCTAAGTTTTCCTCTTGAGTTTGGAGCAGCCAAAATGCATTCCTGTATTTGGGACACTAAGAGGGGGGTCAAACGGGAACAGAACTTTGACAGGAATTCTTTGGGGTTGTAAATCCAAGGGATGAGGTGATTTGGGGGCTGCACTCTCCCTGCTCAGGCTGTCAGTGTCCTGTGGCTAAAAGACATGACTGAGCACTGTGAGTGAGGTGACACAGAATCCAAACACCTACGTTGTGTAAAGACAATTGAGACTCTGTAGCGGTACCTGCCAGTCTGTAGCATATGCGTGTGCTTATGCAATGTGAGGAGACACCTGCAGAGTAGTACATGTTGTAGTGATAAGCATGTACGTAGTGTGCAGAGAACTCAATCACCTGTTTGTAGCTCATTGAAGTTAAAACTGCTTCTCTTAATTCTGCACGTCCATCTTTTCGTTTGCAGGCTGTTCTGTTAAATGAGGCAGGGGAAGAGTTTTGTGGTGGAACTATTTTGAATGAAAATTTTATACTTACTGCTGCTCATTGCATGAACCAATCTAAAGAGATCAAAGTCGTTGTTGGTAAGTGGTTATTTATTTTACTCCTGTGATGTTTGAGCATGTGTTGCAGACTAATCACCTGTGCTCTAAATCCCGTGTGACATTACTTTATGGTGTCTTACTTTTTTGTTATTGTTTTGCTTTTTATAATTTCTTGTTATGGTGGGAATCCTGCTTTTTAATAATGGGGGCAGCTGATGTGGAAGGTAATCATGGTCCATCCCTTTCTTCTTTGCCAGATAGTTGGAAGTGATTAAGAACAAATGTTCTAAAAGTGTTGACTAGCATTGTGTTCATCAGAGTAGTGCTTCTTCAGAAAGCTTATCATTGCTGGCCCATCTGAAACATACAGACTTGCTTCTGCAGGAACACTCAGGAAAGCTTTTACATACTGACTAGAGAAAGAAGAAACAAACTCAAATTATGACTGCTTCACTTCTGAGGCATGATATTAGAACAATACAACTTTATATTTGCACTCTTTTAGTCTTGACTCAGACCAGTTTCTCTTCCCTGATGTAAGCCAGGCTCAAGATCCTGTGAGAGCATTGCATTACTTGAACTGAAGAGGTTTGTGCCTTTATGGACACTGGTACAAAAATCTCCGTAGACCAAAGCTCGGGACTGACACTGATCTGGGTGCTGCTCACAAATATTGCAGTACATTTTTACAGTTTACTTGTATGGCATAAAGGCTTAGGCAGTGTTAGGAATGGGTATACTAGTCTCCTCCTTTATCAAGGTTGTTCTTAATTTCTTATGCTATCTCCATATTAATGACCCTTTTAATAATCTTGTACAGGTGAAGTGGACAGAGAAAAGAAAGAACAGTCTGAAACAATGCACACCGTGGACAAAATATTTGTTCACTCTAAATACATTGCCGAGACTTACGATAACGACATAGCCTTAATAAAGCTGAAGGAACCTATAGTGTTTTCTGAGTACGTTATCGCAGCATGCCTCCCAGAAGCAGACTTTGCTAATGAAGTTCTGATGAACCAAAGATCTGGGATGGTTAGTGGCTTCGGGCGTGAATTTGAAGGTGGACGGCTATCCAAAAAACTGAAAGTGCTTGAAGTCCCCTACGTTGATAGGAACACTTGCAAGCAATCCACTAACTTTGCCATCACAGAAAATATGTTCTGTGCTGGTTATGAAACAGAAGAAAAAGATGCTTGTCAAGGAGACAGTGGAGGCCCCCATGTAACCAGATATAAAGATACTTATTTTGTTACTGGAATTGTTAGCTGGGGAGAAGGATGTGCAAAGAAAGGCAAATATGGCATCTATACCAAACTGTCCAGGTTCTTACGCTGGGTAAGAACGGTCATGAGACAAAAATTGTAGTGGTGTGGCTGTTGATCCTTCTGTTAGCTAACAAGGTGAAGTTTCTGTAATGGAAACTTTCTTATTTTTTTTTTTAGCCACATCTGCTAAACTTGTTTTGAGAGCTGATTCCTTAAAGTTATGGTGCTGCTTCTTTTTGGTTTATTCCTGGCTTTAAGCACATGTACATGGACTGCTGGTGTTGTTTTGAATTTGTACAATGAGGGGCTTTCCCTAAATAAAATGGCTGCTCAGTGGGGTCTTTTGTTTGCCTGTTTGTTTGGTTATTTTTATATTGCCATTTTGGTTCCTCTCTGTTTGCCCAAGTGCTTCCACCAGAGGCTCCGGGACATAATGTGAGCCTCCACTAATCGTGATGAAGGTGGGAAGGACAGGACTTCAGTTAATCCTCATATTGCAGCCAGCTGTCTCAGTAGGGAGCTTGTTATTACTAGAGCTGTGTAGCTTCTACCTGCAGATATATTTAGAAGGTTATGGGAGCAGGGAAGGTTGCTTGGTAAAAGCTGAGACACAAGTAAGTATTCAACATATGATGCTAAATAACCACATTCCACAAAATCACCTGCTTAGGTCACAGCAGCTAATTAAAATGGAGATTTGCTTTATATGGATTGTGCTTCACTTTAATTTGAACACTTCTGCTCATGAGAAAAAAAGTAATATGTGCATGTTCACTGTTTTCTGTATCACGTTCTGGATTGTGTATGGCTGAGGATTGGAAAGTTCCTTGCATGTGTACTTGTTCTAGGTGTTTCTGTAAGGTGCAATATTGATGTACACCAGCATTTGAAATAAAATATTATTTCTTTTTTGTTCTTTTTATTATTATTATTTATTCCCTCCAGTCAGCTTTCAGATATATGGACAAAATCTCACACAATCACAGAATCGTAGTGGTTGGAAAAGACCTTTAAGATCACGAAGTCCAACCATAAACCCAACACTGCCAAATCCACCTCTAAACCATGTCCCTAAGCACCTCATCTACCCGTCTTTTAAATACCACCAGCCTGGTCCAATGCCTGACAACCCTTTCAGTGAAGAAGTTTGTCCTAATATCTAATCTGAATCCCTACTTGGTGCAACTTGAGGCCATTTCCTCTCATTCTATCGCTTGCTACCTGGGAGAAGAGACCGACACCCACCATCTCATTTGAGAATGAAAAAAGAGTGAATGTCCCTGAACAAATACGTGTGACAAATTTCACCTGCCTTATGTCAAGATTGAGACTATGTGCCTGAGGGTGTTGGCCAAATGCTTCTTGAATATTGTGAGGCTTGGTGCCATGACTGCCTCCCCGGGGACCCTGTTCCAGTGCTCCACCACCCTCTCAGTGAAGAACCTTTTCCTAATGTCCAACCTAAACCTCCCCTGGCACATCTTCCTGCCCTTTCCCCTGGTCCTATCGTTGGTAACCAGAGAGAAGAGATCAGGACCTGCCCCTCCTCTTCCCCTGCTTCCCCTCTAAGCCTCTCACCAATTTTGTGTCCCTCCTCTGGACACTCTCTAGTAGCTTTAGATCCTTTTTATCCTGTGGTGCCCAAAACTGCCCACAGTACTGAAGGTGAGGCTGCATCAGCGCGGAGTAGAGCGGGACAATCACCTCCCTTGACCAGCCACCAATGCTATGCTTGATGCACTCCAGGACACGGTTGGCCCTTTTGGCAGCCAGGACACACTGTTGGCTCATATTCAACTTGCCATCAACCAGAACCCCCAGGTCCCTCTCTGCAGAGCTGCTCTCCAGCCTCTCCATAATTTTGCCAGGCACAGAAGTGAGAATTACAGGCCTGTACTTACTAGGGTCATCCCTGTTGCCCTTCTTGAAGATCAGGACAACATTTGCCAGCTTCCAGTCAGCTGGGACCTCTCTAGTTTCCCAAGAGCATTGAAAGATCATTGAGAGAGGTCTCACTATGACACCTGCCAGCTCTTTAAGTACCCTCAGATGGATCCCATCAGACCCCATTGACTTATAGGGATCCAGCTGGAGCAGCAAATCCCGCACAAGTTTGGGGCTGGTAGGGAGTTTATCATTCTCAGTTTATCATTGTTCTCTAGCCCAGGGCTCTGGGGGTTCCTGATCCCATCCTCGGTGTCGATGACAGAGACAAAGGCGGCATTAAATGTCTGTGCTTTGTCTGCATCCCTCTTTGTGAGGTGACCATGCTCATCAAGTAACAGGACAATGTTATTTCTGGTCTGCCTTTTGCTATCAATGAGTCTTAGAAACCCCTTTTTATTGTCTCTCACAGTACCAGCCAGCTTTAGCTCTAATTGAGCTTTGGCCGCATTAATTTCTTCCCTGCAGTGGCAAACGTCATCTCTGTAGTCCTCCCATGTTGCCTGACCTTGCTTCCACTGGCCATACACTTTATTTTTCTGCCTTAGTTCTAGAAGAAGAACCTTTCTCAGACAAGCTGGCCTTCTGCCTCACCTGTTTGACTTCTGGCATTTTGGGATTACCTGCTCCTGTGCTTTTAGGGGGTGGTACTTAAAAAATGACCAGCACTGATGGAACCCAGCACCTTCAAAAGCTTTTTCCCAGGGGACCTTACTAAGTAGTTCCCTGAGCAACCTGAAGTCCACTCTTCTCATAGCCAGAGTTCAGGTCTTGCTGATAGTTTTCCTCCTGTTACCAAAGATTTTGAACTTAACTGCTTCATGGTCACTGTGGCCAAGTCAGCCACCAACTTCCACTTCACCCACAAGACCCTCTCTGTTAACAAGCAACAAGTCGAGGAAGGCACCTTTCCTGGTCAGTTCTCTTAGAAACTGTGCCGAGAAGTTGTCATCCAGCTGATTTTAGGAATCCTCTGGACCTGTTTGTACCATCTGTGTGGTATTCCCAGTTGACATCTGGAAGGTTGAAGACCCCATAAAGACTAGGGCAGATGATTTAGAGGCATCCTTTAGTTCCTTAAGGAACAGCTCATCAATGTTGTCATGCTGGCTGGGTGGCCTATAGTACACTCTCACGACGACATCCACTTTGTTTGTATGTCCCTTAGTCCTTACCCAGAGGCTTTCATGTGTGCCATCACCAGCTGCAAGCTCCACACATTCCAGTCCCTCTGCTACACACAATGCCACCCCCCCACCTCGCCTGCCCTGCCCATCTCTCCTGAAGAGCCTGTAACTGTCCATCATGGCAAACCAGTCACAGGACTCATCCCACCAGGTTTCAGATATGCCAATGATGTCCTATCTCTGGGACTGAGCGAGGGCTTCTAGCTCCTCTTGCTTGTTTCTCATGCTGTGTGCATTTGTGTAGAAACACTTCAGGTGTGGTTCATTGTGCCTATCACCTCATGGAGCTGTCTGAGGAATCTCACCAGCACGCAGCTCCTCGAACTTTGGCAAGCCATCCCATTGCTCATCACAGACTAGGTTGTTACTGTCCCTTTACCCCTTCCAATTTAGTTTAAAGCTCTGTCAACCAACCCTTCTAGATCTTGGGCAAAAACTCTTTTCGCCTTCTGGGAAAGGTACATCCCATTGGATGTCAGTAGACCTGGTGATGAATAGACCATCCCATGATCAAAAAACCCAAAGTTCTGCTGAAAAACCTCTTGGGTTCAGCATCCAAACCTGTTAGGGTTTGAACTGGTGCTGGCTATTCTCGTATAGCAGGTGCTGTGAGCAAGCCAGGTTGAAAAACGAGAAATACAACTCTGTACAGCAACAAGGTATTGCTGCAGTCAGCAGTAAATGTATGCAGGAGGGACTGCAGGTCAGTTACCCTTGGCTTGATGGTCCCCACCTGTATAAACCCTCAGCAGGCTTACTTCAATGTTTGTTCAGCAATGTTTGTTCCCTGGCTTTTTCTGCCCACAGGATTCCCGTTTGTACCTTCTAATCCCTTGTCCCACGTTCACTGGTAGCTTGACCTGTGCTCCATCAGGGTGAAACATCCCTCCCTCTTCAAAGGGACAACCTCAGGCCTCAGTGCTACTCAAATCCTATTTATGTACTTGTGCTAAGGGTGTTTTTCTACTTCAGGGAAGCTTGAGGACTGAAGTGAAACTCAGACTGGACTATATAAGGTGTTGAGGTAGCTGAAGGGAGGACCTGCCTCTGGCAACGGTGGCAGTTGCTGAATTTTACTAGCTGGTGTGTATATACATCCTTGTCAAGCCAAGTAGCACCTTGAGGGCAGACACAGAGCTGGTTTAACAGATGAGCATGCAAAAGAGTGATGGAAGTCCATGTTTGTGTCCAACATAACAGCATGTAGAAGAGAATTATTCTGCAGAGTATGAAAGACTTTGTTCTTGGGCTTTGCAACTGCAGTTTATTTGTCTTTTACAAACAAAACTGGTTCCTAGAAAGCCTTTCATCCTGCGCCATGGTGCCTATAGTGCCCAAGGCTCAAGGGCCTCATATTCATTCCTCGTCTGTAATATTGTCTCTGCTATTCTGAGAGGACAAGTGAAACCTCTGCTTGCATCTTGACCTCCTACCAAAGCCGATAACCAACTCTAGGGCCTGCAAGAAAAGAAAAAATAAAAGAAAAAATTTTTAATTTAGATGCATTATTTTGGTGCGATTTCTCATAATGATTGTAAAATCATCATACAGATAGTAAAACCCAGGCAAGAGGTACAGCACATAGCTGCTGTGTAAACTAGTGGGGTTTAAAATACCAGAAGTCCTCACAGGAAGCAAACACTGCTGGCTTAGGCAAGAGCTGACATTTACCAAGGATGGTGGAAGGAGAAGCTCTAAGCTACCCTGTAGTGCTCAGGATTCCTCAGCCTTCAAGGAATAGCCCACCCTAAGAAGAAAGGGAAGAAAGGAAGGATGGTAAGTAAAGAGGACAATCACTTTGAGGCTTTGGAAAGGACTAATGCAAAGAATAAAAAGGCAGGACGTTGCTCAGGCCCAGTCCAAGATGATGTATCTGGGCAAGAAACTCCTTTGCATGAGGCATTGAGCTTTGAAAAATCAGGGTTCTTTAAACCAAAATAGAGAAGGCCTGAGGAGAAACATAGCAATACAAGAGAAACCCCAACACAAGAGAGACATGGAGCAGCTAGAACAAGTCCAGAGGAAGCCACCAGGATGATCCAAGGGCTGGAGCACCTCTCCTATGAGGACAGGCTGAAAGACCTGGGGCTGTTCAGCCTGGAGAAGAGAAGGCTCCGGGGAGATCTTATAGTGGCCTTCCAGTACCTGAAGGGGCTACAAGAAAGCTGGGGAGGGACTTTTCATAAGGGCAGTTAATGACAAAACAAGGGGAAATGGGTTTAAGCTGAAAGAGGGTAGGTTTAGATTAGATATTAGGAAGAAGTTCTTCACTGTGAGGGTGGTCAGACACTGGAACAGGTTGCCCAGAGAAGTTGTGGATGGCCCCTCCCTGGAAGTGTTTAAGGCCAGGCTGGATGAGGCTTTGAGCAACCTGGTCTAGTGGAAGGTGTCCCTGCTGCTGGCAGGGGGGTTGGAACTAGATGGTCTTTAAGGTCCCTTCCAACCCAAACCATTCTATGATTCTATGAATAGCCTTCATGTGTGCAAAAGGCTGCTGCAGAGAAATAAGGACTAATCAGATCTTCATGTCAGTGATGAAGATAAGACAGCACATCTCAGTTCCAGCGAGAAGTGTTCAGGGAAATCTCAGTGAAAACCTTCTAACACTGTGACTGGAAAAGCCCTCTACTAGATTTTGTCTGGGGGCAGTGAAGTGTCCAATGTTGGTAGTCTTTCAGAGCAGGAGAGGTAAGTAGCTGTCAGATGTACAGCACGACGGGGGCTGCCCTGGGGAACGAAGGTGGACAAGTGGCCTTTGTTACGGTATCCTACAGTACATCAGGAAAACACACTTTTGCAAGTACAGTGTCCAACTGGAACCAATTTCCCAGAAGACTTCTTTGCTGGAGCCTTGGCCAACATGCCAAGAGTAATAGAGGCAAATTGATCCCTTGTGGGCTGAGTGAGCTGGGCTGGGTGATCCTGGAGGTCTTGCCAGCCCATTTTCTGTGCATCCAGGTGAGCAGCACAAGCAAAGGGTCACTGTTACGTTCATGCAGTTGTGACCTGTGCTAGCACAGTAATAACAGGCAAGGTTTTCCTTCCTCTTTACTGCTCCCTGACACAGGATTGTCTGGGAGAGGGCAGGACCCTAGACCACAAGGCCCTGTCAAGAGCTGTCCCCATGGAGTGGTGTGAGCCTCCCAAAAAAAATTTAAAAAAATCTAGAATAAGGTGGAAGTTGATGAATTTGTTATGGTCTGGCCTGGTGCTTGTGACAGAGACTGGATTCTGTGGATCCTAGAGGTCCCATCCAGCCTGCTACATCTGTACAGGATACCTGCTTACCAGCTCCACTGGACTCAAAGGCTTCATCTACCAGCATGACAATCAACTTCACCTAAAGCACTTCAGACTACAGTGGTTTGGAATAAAAGAGACCAAAGCCTTGTGCAATACCTAATAGGCCTACACCAGAAAAAAGCCTGAACTTTCTCTCTTTTTCATGCTTTACTAGCTTCCTAAGGCACTACCAGAGCTGTGAGGCAACATCTTTGCAATATGTTTACCGAGCTCTGCAAATCTGGTGTTCTTCTCATTTCTCAGACGCTTTCCTGCTTCTGCCCAGCTTGCAGGAGGCGCAAAGCTCTGGCTTTGGTTGTTCTGCCTTCCCTGGGGCATGGGCAACAGCCAGATCAACTAGTCTAGCTCTTGCTGCCTGGCTAGTAAAGCTCTTTTAAGGAGGCTTTGTCCATATTTCCTAAAGATGTAGAGCCACCCAAAGTGGACAGGGAGAAAGGGAATAATTGTAGACCATGGTCCTGGAGAGGAAATCACGAAGTGGCAGCCTGGTGTCTGGAGTTATGGTAGCATAACCAAATTTAACCATGTGACCACATGTTACTCTGCTGAGGCAGAACCTGCCCTGGTTTATGGAGTCCCCTCTTCCTGAGGAGTCTGAAATACACAGGTGTCGCAGCCTCGGTGGCAAACTCAGCTCCATGCTGCCCAGGCAGGAGAGAGGGACTTTGCTGACACAAGGCACCTGCAAGCTCTCAGGGTGGCACTGCTGCAGCACAGTGGCTTGTTTCTCTTTTAACATTGTCCCGTGCTGACACTGAGGCCAGGCTTTGCTCTTAGAGGTTTTGTTTTCTCGTGAGTTAATGACCTTTGCACTGTAGTGTTTCTCTTTTAGCAGCTGCCCCAGAGCCCTGCAGAGAAACCAGTGGGAGACGCACAGTGAGCTCGGAGGATGGCAATGGCAGGTCATCACCAGACAGTGTGGCTTCTTCCTGTTGTCCTCCTTTTCCTTCAGATGGTGCAGACAGGTACAGTCTTTGCTTTAACTTGGGTTTGTGCTGCTTTGTCTAAACCACACAGGTCATTATTTGCCATTATTTGTGCTTTGTGAGCCAGGGTGACATGAGTGAAAACCTGGTAGCTTTGCTTTCTTACCCAACTTGCTCCCATTCGTCTGCTGCAGTGCAATAATGTCCAGGGCTTAGTCACTACGGAAATAACATTTGGAACTAAAACAATTGTGTCAGTGTAAAATACAGGGTTAATATGTCAATATGCAGGGCTTTCAAACTGACAACACAAACTATATGCTACTCTTCATGTCCTCAAGAGATGTAATAATTAAATAATCCTTACTATGCATTCATAAGCTATTGGGTGACAAAATGAACCCCACAAGGTTTAACAGTACAGAGGGGAATCAGAACCCCACACCGTCACCCACAGTGCTTGTCTAAGTCTCTACAAGAACATCACATCTCCACTTGAGGAAGCGCCCCACCTGTCTTTGAGGTTGGAGCCTGAAATGCTTCTCTACAGAGTAAGTGTGTGAATCATACTGCAGACATGATGCCTGCTTTGTTGTTTAATTTTGCTGTAAAACTCATGTGGTGATTACAAAGGACTGGTTGGACATGACTAAACAAACACCTGAGTCATCCACATTACAAGAGCTGGGAGTAAGAGGGATTTTGACATCCCAGAGATGAGGTGGGAAAGGTACTTAGTGGGACACAGAGTGCCCTGAGAGTCTTCAGGATGTTTCAAGGAAAATTTTCTCATACAAACATGTAGAAAGCAATTTTGAGTGCACTTGCCTACATGTGATTTTAATCAACAGACTAGAAGTGACTGACAATACAAAGATGGAAGATGACTTTAATAAAAGTCAATGTAAAATGACAGAGCTCATGAAGGAATTAAAGAAAAAAACCAAGAGAATAAAATTAATGTATCTTTTAAAAGAGAGAAAGATTTGGCTACTTCTAAAAAAAACCCCATAAAAACCCAAAGTGTTTAAGGCACATGTCCAGGCTATCCCAAGGTCAAGAAAGGACTGGAGGATTAGTTAAAATCATGAGCTCCTTCATGATCTGACATCCAGAAGGACGTATAGAAAAATCTAGATCTGTATAAAAGAATTACAAACATCCTGCCATAAAACCAGAAAGGTTAAGGAGTAAATACAATAAGATAAACATGATGTGAAAATCAAGAGCTGATCTAAGTACATGGATATCAAAAGAGACAAAGAAGAATGTTAGTCTCTTCCCAATGTAGAAAAAAATCTTTATTCCTTAAGGCACCAGATTATTTGTGTTCAACAAGGAGAAAAGAAACTGCGGAGTTGTACTAGTTAGGAACAAATCACATCAATCTCCTCCAAGAACAGGATAACAGACTGAGTGGCTGCAAAAGATGCCATACGTGTCAGGTCTCTTGATTAAGGGAGGCTTCTAACATCATTTTATGTAATGCTTTTATTGTAACAGAAACACTGCTCTGGATGAAACTATTGTAAGTTAAGTTTGGTGCACATCTGGTTGGGAAATTGTGCTAGTCGGTGTTTTGCTGTCAAATGAAAGATTATATGGAGTGCAGGGCTCCACGCAGGTGAGCCTAAGTTTCCACAGTGACATCCAAGACAGAATAGAGTGTTTACTCACTGAATTTGTAGCTCATTCCAGACTGGAAGGACTACCATAACTTGAGATGAGAGTTCAAGACAATCTTGTGAAACTGGAACAGTGGTCCAACATAAATAGGAGGTAATTCAGTAAACACAAACCCAAAATTTCACCCTCAGTCCCACAATACACAACCAAGGAAATTTGTAAAATACATAATAAAAGCAAGAAGTCTTCTCCAATTTCACAAGGATGAACAGCTAGGACAAGAAGTAATGGGATCACACCACACTGAGGGACACTCAGGTTAAATATTAGGAAACACTTTTTAGATGTTATAAAGCTAGTTAAGGAGCAGATTAGGTTGCATGGGTGAGCTGTAGAATCTCATCGTGGATCTGTAGGAACAGGTTGGACAGCCTCTGTTAGGGCTGGTTTACCTCTCTTGCTTTCACATTGTTAGTACTAGCAAGAGCTCTCCCATGCTGCTTATGATCTTACAATGCCAAGGACTGAGCTAAGGTAAGTAGTATGAGCCATATACAGATGGAAAATAAATATTATAAGGTTCTACCAAGAGTCTAATACTTCATTTATTACTGATACTTCAGTTGTTGCTAATTTTATTAGCAACATATTCATCTTTGCCTTATTACCATGGCTGTTCTGGCGAGTAGGGATTATCCCTTCCTTTGCCATCAAAGAGCTGCCAGTTATAGCTGGGAAACACAGCTTAAGATGTAAAATAATAGTGGTCTACCTCATGTTGGCAGCTTAACATTTTTTAAAATAATGATAGTTACAACTGTTGTTATTACTAAGGCTTTGGGCAGGAATTGCACAGAATTTCCCAAAAGGAAGGGGTGGGGGTGGGGGGGGAGGATGACTAATGCTTCCAAGCAAGGTTTTATGAACTGTGTGTGTATTTGTGAAATCAGCATGAATTTTTAACCTGCCTATAAATTTGTCTCCTTTGCAGTCATACCAAGTGCATGCAAGGTCAACAATGGGAACTGTGAGCAGTTCTGCAAAGCTGAAGATGAAGGAGTCGTGTGTTCCTGTGCAGCCGGCTATGCCCTGGGCAATGACAACAAAACCTGTGTTCCTGTCGGTATGAGCCACACTTAAAGTTCATTCTATGGGAACCAACTCATCTCATCTTCACCACATCTGGGAAGTGCTAGTGTGTTGCAGTGCTGTTGTAGATAAGGAATAATGTTAACTGTTCACACCTTTCACATGGCTTGCTTGAGGTGTTACCAACAAAGATAGTAAGATCTTAGCTAAAGGTCATAATTTAAATAACATCAAATTGTGCAACTCTGAGCAATGTGCAGTGGCAAAAATAGCTCACAGAAGCATTTTGCGCAAGTGAGTACGGTCTCAGAGTGGACTGCAAAACCTGTGTCCCAGCAGCTATGAAGCCATATGAGAAAACAGTGGTAGGAGACAAGTAGGAACCCAAGAAACTTCTCCCTTTACAAGATACAGTTCACAAGGATTCATTATAATTTCAGTGGTAATAACACAATGTGATTGCAGTTATATCTCACTTGCTTACCCTCAAATATTACCTGTTCCATTTAAAAAGAATATAACCCACCTTTCTACTTCTTTCTAGAAGCTAGTTTTCTGCAGTTAACATATAGTGATTGAATACATTAATAACTAATAATAATAATCTAATAGCATTAATAACTACTGACAATGAATGTAAACCCAGTTTTGCCTGCATTCAGAGAAAATTAATATTAACAATTCTTAATCTTGATCTATTCTTCTGTCTGTCTCATTATATTTGTTATAATATCCTTTGTATTTTAATCCCAAATTGCTGTCGTGACCTCATAATTCCTAATATAAAATACTTTGCTCAGCTTCCCAGTGCAAAAGTTTTAATAACAGCAAGTATATTAAAATAATTATGCCAATAATTGAAGTTGTTTAACTTTTAAATACTTTGAAAATGCTGAACCAATTTGCACACTTGCCCAAAAGAGGCAAATTTTAGAACTGGAAAATTATTTTCGTTTTTCAACCATTCTGGTCCCCGTCCCTTTTGCACTTGCAAAGTTTTTGTTAATATCTTGAAAAATCTTGCAGAGCCAACCCTGATAATGCCTGCATATCTCATTTGATTGTAAAAGGCTGCAAGGAGTTTTGCTTGTACTGTTAAGTGAGTTTTCTCTCATTTTCATGAAGAGTTGATTTCCTAAAAGTGACCTGTTTCCCTGCAAACCATTTTCCTCCACTGTAGATAGCAATCTGTAACTCTAAAGGCTGCTTCTGACTGCAAAACCCATGTTCCAGCATGTTTGAATAATTTTTAGTGGTGAAGGACAACACTAGGTGCTCTGGAAACTAGATTTACTTTTCTGACCATGAAACTGTCCCTTATACCAAGGGCTCTGTCAGACAAGCTCTGTTGAATGGCACTTTGGTGACAGAAACTGTTTTCAACAGCAACTGTCTGTCCTTCTGCTCTGCTGGAGGTTACTATCCCTTGCATGTCACTTGGCTTGGTGCCTCAGGGACAGCACAGGCACCATCCCCTACAGAGAGTGAAAACTGTGGTCCTCCAAATCCTATATATTGGCTTAAATCAGCAAGAAAGGTAGCTCTGAGCTAAAGTGAAGGCATGTAACAGCATCAGAGCCTTCACAGCTGTTTACTCAGTGTTATGGACAGGAACGCCTTGCTCTCTGCATGTGACATGTGCTTCAAAGTCCCAGTACCATCCAGCCATCAAGTATTAGCGTTTTGGTTTTACTTTTGCAGTCAAGTTCCCGTGTGGTAAGCTTCAGAGAACTCATGAAGCCAGTCGAGAGAAAGTCAATGGAAGCACAGCAAGGCCAGATGCTCATCCTGAAAATGAGGAAAGTGCTGAGGCCCCGACCAGCCCTTCGGAGGTCACCGAGGAGGCTGGCAGTTTACCCAGCACGTCCCCATGGCAGGTAAGGCACCCTTGTCCTGAGATGTTTAACTCTTGACCCCCCTTCATAGTGCTCATCCATGCTTGCAAGGGGACCTAGCCTGATTTGAGGCAGGCTTCCCTGGTGCCGACATCTATTTCCACTCTCCTGAGCACTGTGTTTCTGCACAGGTCTCATATCATGAAAGATGTTGTGCCCCCGTTTCAGCATGAAGCAAATGCTGAGAGGGGGAGGCCAGGAGAGAGGTAGGGTTGCAGATATGGGACGTAGAGCTGGGTGAGCCACAGGGCCCCTTCCCTGCCAGCCACCCCATTATTCGGGTTGCAGCATGGTAGTATCAGAAGGATAGCCTGAGTTCCTGTTGTGGCCAAGACTAAAGTGAAAAAAAAACAAACAAAGAGGAATAGTGCTATTACAGTATTAGCTAAATTTTGTTTAAAAAGTAACAACAGAAAAATGTTGGTAAAATAACTGAATGGATGAACTCTGCTTTGAGCCAGGAAAAAGCTCTGTCTTGAGAAGTTTCCCGCTGTGGTGGCTACACCTCAGTGTAACTCTCATCACCTTAGAATGAAAGATGCCTGTGACAGAAAATATGTATGAAAATTTCTACTTTAAGAAAACTGTTTGAATCTCAGCTAGCTGTTCAGGATTCTCTGTACATATGTTTTATGCTTTATCTTTCTTCTCTCTCTTCGCAGGCTGTTCTAATAATGGACGAGTATGATGAATGGTTTTGTGGGGGGACAATTCTAAATGAGTATTTTATACTTTCTGGAGCTCATTGTGTTAACGAGCCTAAAGACTTATCGGTTCTTGTTGGTAAGTGCTTCTCATTTTGCCATGTACTACAAAAGTAAGAACCTGTTCCATGTTCTAGTCTTGATATGTAAGACATTGAACCCTGGCAGAGTTTTTCTTACCCTCTCACTGCCTCGTCCTCTCCCTTGACTAACAGTGAAATATATCTTCAACTTTGTTGAAGGTACAGTTTCTTTAAGCTTGGCTTGGCCTAGGATAGCTTGTATATGATAGAAACCAAGTATAAACTGGAAAGGTATGTGGGCAAGTGAGGTTGAGCTGATGTAGTTAAATTGGTCTAATTTACACTTTACGCAATTTCCTGTGTTGGCCAGACCTTGAGGAACTCCAAATGCTTCATTCAGATGCTAGGTTTGGCAGCACGTAGACACTAGTCTGAGACTGTTCCCTACTTGAAACCTCAAATTTATTATTTTTTACTGTCACTTATGAAATAGTTTATCACAAGTTCTAGGCAGTGAAAAATAGTGTTCTGAGTCTTAAAAATTGTACTCAGTGCATAATAGTAAAGAAAAAAATTTTTTTTGAAACACAAAAATTAGTGTTTCCCTAAACTCCTATCGTCTGTCCATGTAATTCCCAAAGAGACTTCATACAAATTAGAAAAGACTAAATATATATGTCCTAAGTTTTTGTATGCAGAACAGTAAAGTTTTAAAAGACAATATCTATTTCCTATTTAAGTCTGTTTGACTATTGTTCCTCTACAAATGAGAGGAGCAAGAGCCTTCTTTTCTGTGTTGAGGCTTTTGTTTGTATATCATAAGAGTGCCATTTGGAATATTGTAATGAAGCCCAAAAGTTTATATCAAAGCTTTAATTGAGAGCATTATTCTAATAGCAAAGTTCTGATTTTTTACATGCTTGGCATTTTGGCAGCCCTTTAAACCCCTCCAAAATGGGTATTAAATGCTACAGCATCAGGATACAGGACTGCTCTGTTTTATTTGTACAGTATAATGGCTAGAGAAAGTGCAAGGGACTTTCATCTCTTATTGAGATGCAGTTTAGACGTGTTGGTATTGTCTTATTAATAACTGCTTTACTAATCTGACAGGGATGGTGGATAAAGAAAAGGAAGAGCCAAGTAGAGCAAAGCACAGAGTGGAAAAAATAATTAAACATGATAAATTTGATACAGAAACTTTTGACAGCGACATAGCCCTTCTCAAATTAGAGGAACCTATCACATTTTCTGAGGATGTTGTCCCAGCATGCCTTCCAGAAGAAGACTTTGCTAACGACATCCTGATGAACCAAACATTTGGAATTGTCAGTGGCTTTGGGAGCATGTTTGAACGTGCGCGGCCAGTCAAGAGAATGAAAGTGCTTCAAATCCCTTATGTGGACAGGGACACTTGCAAGCTTGCCCTTCGTAAGCCAGTCACAGAAAACATGTTCTGTGCTGGTTATGATAAAGATGGAAAAGATGCCTGCCGAGGAGATGGAGGAGGCCCCCATGTAACCCAATACAATGGCACTTATTTTGTTACTGGTATCATCAGCTGGGGAGAAGGGTGTGGAAGGCAAGGAAAATATGGAGTATACACCAACTTGTCAAAGTTCCTACCCTGGATAAGAAGTGTTTTGACTGAAAACTCTTAACGGTTTGATATTTAATCAACTTCATTGTCTTAGCCATCAGATCAATCCAAAAGATTTTCCTCTTTTTAACATGCTTGCTAAAATTCTGATAGTTTGTGCTTACCTAAGAGACACAATCTATTTCTTCATGAGCTAATGCCTGGTTTTCAGAAGATGGGCTTGAACTTCAAACTGAGCTTGCTGGTTTTGGACAATAATGAAATTTCTTCAAATATGACAGTTAGAAACTCTTGGTCTTGCTGTGATAACCAAAATTTTTCTGTTGGAGGCTTTGTCTGTGCTCCCATTGCAATGAAAGTTGGAACTAAACATTTCTGTGGCAGTGCCTGCTTTATAGAAACAAACCAGACACGGTTAATATCAAAGTAAGACAGTATCAGAGTAGGACAGCATTTTAAAAGCCTCTGGAAAAGCTACCTAATTTTCTATATTTATATATGTGTACACAGAAAAAGCTAGAAAATACGAAAACCACCCATGTATCCACACAAATCTAAATACCTGGGAATATCACTGAATCAAATGAGTTATTAGATGAAGCTCATTGAACTGGAAAGTCTTGCTTATCATCACCAAAATCACTGTTGTCCTTGTGATATTTTCTTGCTTTCTTTTTGAGATACTTTCTTCACTATCATTATTCACGTTGTTATTTTTGGCTATAATAAAGTGAATGTGTTGCATACCCTACAGTTACAATGTTGTTGTATGTCATCATTTATATAAAATGTTATTTAAATTATTCACAGCTCAAGAGTTTTTAAATCTACAAGCATAAATAATCTTTCAAGACTAAGAAAAGCCTAACTCTCTGATCAGCTGAACCTGACATCCTCTGTCTGCCTTATTCCAACCCAGAGGGAAAAAAAGACTTGCTTTTCAGCCAGTTAAGTGGTATATAAAAATTATGAGCTAGATATTAAGATGTTTGAGGCTCTATAGAAAAGTTAAGTACTCTGATGTACTTTAAAAAGCGTGTCAGTACCTATTTATGAAGAGAGGGAAAAGAGAGATGTTACAAATTATATTGTGGCATAAAGTGTGCAATATTTTTCTCATTCCCTGGCTTCAAAATATCCAGTTTGCAAATGTGTAAGTCACCATTTTGGGGTCATTTTTAATATGGATTATGTTGATTAATTTGAAAGGAATAGGGCAAGTAAATTTGTCCTGCAATAACCACTATCTTCTTCTGCTATGAAAAACTCAGAAAAATCATGCTGGAGTCTGTTCCACATTTATAATTTCCCTCCAGTTTTCTCTGACACATCTTCTGAACTTAAGGACTGCTAAATGAACTCAATCCTGGAGTGACAGCACATCACAGGTCATGTCGTTCAAGCCACAGAAAGAAGTTCAGCCCCTGATGGCTGCAGATGCGAGTCCCTGACACCACTGCTCCAAAGGATTTACCCCTGCATGACTTTCCATAGGATCTCTGTTAAAACCTCTGATTATACTTCAGTCCTAAACTATATATTGAGGGAACCAAACCTGATATATTAAACTGTGGGCCATGCTCAGATGTGTTCCAGGCACTACGAGGCCATTACACAGGGCTTACACCCTTACTGCCATCCATCTCTCCTCCTACCCAGCCTTACATTACCACTTGTGCCAGCTCTGCAGCACTCCTAGTTTATCCATAACTGATTAAAAAAAGGACAGAAACCTCCAACGGGCTTCGATCACCATCTTTACCTCAATGTGCACTCAGAGAAATCATCCATCTGATGTAGCCATCCATCCATCCATCCACCCATCCATCTCCTTCCTTACCTCCCAGTTTGCATTTCCAGCCATGAAACATTATCATCAACCTACTCGATGTCCAGTACCAGATAAGAACAAATTCTGTCTGCAGGGATGCTTATTCCAGCCGCTTAACTGGACAGAGAATTGCAATTCTCACTCGAGATACATACCAAGACATACATCATGTCATCTGTGCTCTACCTAAATGCTATTTGAGTCTTTACATGGAGGACAGAACTTTACCTCAAGTCATCCTGGAAGATTTATTTTGAAACATGAAAAAGCTTTTTTGCTATCATTTTTCAACATAGATGGATTTTTTTTTCCTTGTCATAAATGCAGAAGTCAGCTTTCAAAAATAATCCAGCAGTGTAGCAGTGGCACAAGTTCACAGAGTCCATGTCTACCACAGCTTGGGAGTCAGGTTTATGGCAGTCATGTCTGTCTGGGCTGTGGGTGGAAGCTCTTGGGCACTGGCTTTGCACTGGCACTGCTGAGGTCAGGCCAAGGCTTCTCTCCTGCTGAATCTGCTGCAGAGGAAGTGACTGGCTGGTCACAGAAACACCTTAAATCACAACATCTAGACACAGCTGCAGGGCTGCTGCCCCATGACCTCGGGGGAGAGAATGAGACAGAAAGAGAGAGGAACAGGAAATAGCATTAAAAAGTCTGAATTCCAGGTAAACTCTGAAGGCTTTCGCATCTCCTCATTGCCCACTTCAGACTGACTCAGTGTTCCAGGAGTCTGCCTGAAAAATCCTCTGTTTAGGTGTCTCTGTGAGCCATCCTTAACCATTTTTATCCTGAAGTCCAAGCTGTAATAACGGGGAGATGTTATCAGATAAAATTGGAGAAAAAATAATAAAACCCTCATCCAAATGGCACAGACTCCAAAGTTATTTTTCTGAGTTTTTCACAGGACATTAGGATATTGTTCATCTCAGGGAAAAATTGACCACCTCACTAAACCCCCTTATCCACCACTGAAACTGTATCTAGGAGCTGAAGTTGGATGGCATTGTCTGTGCGTGTCTCTGCTATCCTCTGGCTGTTCCGCACCCAGTTCTATTGGTTGGAATTTTGATAGGGAAAATGGTATTAAGATAAAAGTGGGAAAAAAGTAAAGAAACATGAAGGCATAAATAAAGGAAGAATGTATTTTAATAACTGAAATATTACCAGTTACTATTTTTAGCAATGCACGCGCAGAAATAGAAAATGTCAGAGCTTGCATCTACAGAGATCACAGAATCATAGAAGGGTTTGGTTTGGAACAGACCTGCAAAGATCATCTAGTGCAACCCCTGTGCCATGGACAGGGACATCTTTCACCAGATCAGGTTGCTCAAAACCCCATCCAACCTGTCCCTGAACACTTCCAGGGATGGGGCAGATGACAGAGTAGTTCCAAGATGGTTTTTGTTTTTACTGTCAATCTGTCAGGAGACTTGCACAACCTTGTGGCAGGACTCAAGTCCTTCTTGTGGGTGCAGCACCCACAGGAAAGAATCAGGGCTCCCCGGGGTTACATTCCTCCTCCCTGTCCACTCCCCCAGGATTTCTTGCAATCTGTAACCAAACCAGAAGGTTTGGTTACGATGCTCCTGTGAACTAGTTGCAAATTCCTCCAGCTTGCAGAAATGGTGATGCCCTTTGGATTTGGCAAGAAAAGCTTTTTTATTCTGCAGGTGGTGAACAGGACTTGTTGATGACAGTCCAGGCATTTAATTGAATTGTAACCCATTTTAACCACACTAAGTATTAACCCTTTGTGGAGTACGTGCTTCCTCTCTGCTGGCCAGGAAAAGTTCAGCTGACTTTTTTGTAGCTTCTGTACACACAAGGATATGTGCTGCTTATAAGCGTGGATGCTGGTAACTGTGCTTTGCACGAGCAGAGTGTACATCAGCATGTAGGTGGGATAAGCTTGTGCCACACATCACTATCTCTTCACCAAGACTACACATCACCACACTCACTTGACTTGGACCGACTGGTGTCTAATCAGTGCTGAGGGACACATTCCCATTTTGTTGTTCCTAAGCAGTTGTCTGAAAGGGAGTATTTCTTCTTTAATCTGAAAAAGCTCTCCCTTGTTCCCAAATCTGCTGCTTCTGTTTCCATGCTCTCTATGCAAAGAAAAGCCTAAAGCTCCACAATATCAGCCCTCTGACATAGGAATTACTGAGTTAAACCACAGTAAATCTTGGCCTCAGCCCTCTCCATCTCTTTGGAGATGTCAGCAATTGCTGTGATTTACCTACAGCTTCTCCAGGGCTCTTCCCTGTGGGGAGAGACCAGCGGTGGCTGGTCACAGTTGCCTCCTCTGCCTCAGGCAAAGGGATGGTACTTTGGGGACCCATCGATACTCAGGGCACTGTGGTCTTCAGTTTGTTGGGCATGAGGTGAGAGATGAGTGACCTGTATAGAAAATTATGATATAGAGGACAAGGAGGTGGCTTGTCATAGCCATGGGGAGTTAGCAAAAGCAGTGACCACCTGGTTGTGGACAGGCATTGCCCAGGGTGGGCTGCAGGGGGGCTGGAAGTACATCAGTTGTTCACCTCTCCTTTTACTTCCTCGCCCTACTAGCTGGGACTCTGGGGCACCTGGAGCAAGGAGAGAGCACAGAGGAAGTCAGTGGGCTTTTGAGGACTGTGCAAGAGGCAAAAAGGGGCAGGAGAGGAGGCAGAGGCAAGTCACTCACCAGGTCCATCTGCAGCACAGATGGCTCAGAGCAGAGGGGCCTGAAGGGGCCCCTGCTATCACCTCACTTCCAGTGAGTTGAGCACTGCCAGTTCACTAACCAACTTATGCATCTCCAAGCACATCAGAGAAAACCATCCTCCCATTTTCTTCTGCCCCTGCACTCCCAGAGCTGTGGTATGGCAATAGGCAGGGTTGGAGAACATGGGTTGGAGGTTGCACGGAACAAGATGACACTGGAGGGGTCTGCTCCTCCTGGGCTCAGTCCCCACCTCTCCTCCTCCTCCCTGCCCTGTGGCAGCAAGCAGCTGTGGGCTTTCCCTCATCCCAGGGCCCTCAGATCCCCGCAGAGGACTGATGCAAAGACAAGAGGCTGTGGAGAGGCAAGGCAGAGCTGTTCCTGTGAGCCTGTACCTCCTGCCACCAGGCAGGCACACCATGGTCCCCTTCACCTTGAACCATCTTCAATATTCATGACACACAATGAACTGCAGTGCTGACATGCCGCTCACCAGGTGGACACGTGGCTGCAAGCCTAGCCATCGGTTTTTGCTATTTGCTTAGTGCGGGGGTGATATTTTCTGGAAAATAATTGCTGTACCTTTTGCTAGCTGAGGTGTGCATTTCCCAAAAATACGTGACAGTGACAGAGTGTCTCAGGACAGCTGCCCCTCGCTACCCCCGCTGCAGCAGGGCTGGTGGCCAGCCAGGAGCCACAGCACGAGGCAGAGTAGCATTGGCACGTCCCCGTCACTGTCCCATCACAGCCTGGGCACCTGGTCTGCAAACTGGCTTCCCTTGGCTTGCCGCACTGCTGATGGGGGGACTTCCATGGAAACCAGTTGCTAAAGCAGGACCAACTCAATTACTCCATCCTGGGAACTGCAGATTTCATATCTAACACCACATGCAGGCTTCATGCTGGAAAGCGTAGCCCTTCAAGCAGCAGGCAATCCTTAACTGGGGCTACAGGAAATTGAGTGTGGGACTCCTTAATGAAACACATCTCAATGTGCTCACTGCAATAATTAAAGGAATGGAAAAAGAAATCCCAGTAGCTCATCATAAAGAAAGATGTAAGGAAAGGCTTGCCCTTTTAAAACCCTCTCCTTACACAATTTTCCATAGCCATGTGAAAATTAAGATGTAAAGCCCATTGCATTGATATCAATACAGAACAAACAATGTCAGTGCCATAACTTACTGAGTACACTGTGGCCCATTCCCAAGGACACAGCTGCTCAGTCAAGGAACACTTTGTAAAAAAAAAAAAAACAAAACACAGTAAGAAAAAATGAATGTGTAAACTAAGGTCTGATGAGAATACAGCTTCTGTAGCTCTGTGTTGTTATTATAAACCTTATTTGAATGATTACCTTATACTTACAAGTGTTCCTTAATTGACATAGGTTTGAAAAATGTAAACAGCCTGCTTTAAAAAAAAAATAAAATCTGCAAATCTGCAGTTTTGTGCTGGGTTCTGTGAAGTCCTGTGCTGACATCAAGTGGTGACATATTTTATACCGAAGGGAGGCAGATTTGCCATGCTGTGTATGCACCAGGCAATAGTTTTTACCTTGGGAAGGTAAAGGCAAATAGACAGGGGTTGCAGTGCTCGCTGGAAGGTGCTCCTGTAGGGATGGTTGGCCAGAAGAGTACAGAAAAGCAACACAGCCACTACCGTGCACTGTGAGGACAGTCAGGTGAGCCTCTGCAGTGGCTCCTGGACACTTGTGCTGGCAGGACCCACCAGATGTGACCATTGGCAATAGCCCTCCCATTTCCTCAGCCAAGAAACCCCCGGCTGGGACAGGTACAATGTCAGCACTGAGTTAACCAAAGAGGATGGGAAGCTCATCAATTAATATTAATTAGTTTGACAAAAATATCAAGGAGGGAAAAATAAATAGGTAAGGTTACAAACTGGCTGTGAATAAAATCAAGTGTGATATTAGAAGGGTTTTAACTCCAAGTGAACTTCTGGAACAACATCCTGGCAGAGATTGTGCAGGAAAAACCTCCCACAATGCAGTTTTAATGTTGAGGTTAATTATTTGCCAAAAGCATTAGGGTCTTTGATGTGAGCTGCAACATCAGCCCTGGGTTGGCAGGGACTGGCCTTGGTGAGGCACGTGGTCCGCCTCAGCCCTGCTCGTCTGCCTCGACACTCACTGAAGCAGGTTTTTAAAACTGCAGTGAAGCGTGTAAAGTGTAAGTTTTATTTGGGAATTTATTTATGAATGCTGAGATCAATTATACTTTGTTACAAGAACTGCATACTCACATAATAGCTGGGAATTTATGACATGAAAACAGAGAACGGTCTCTATGTTTCTAACTCAGATAAAAACCCCCCACTTTTCCCCTCACCAGTTGTTGCTCTGACTGTAGAAATGGTTTCCTGCTCTTCCCAGGAGCCTGCCTGTGCTAGGAAGCAGACAACTCCCTGTGCCACCATTGCCATGGCAGAGCCCATCCCAGGCACACCAGCGCTTGGATCCTTCCTCTCATCCTGGGACAGGCAGGAGGACAGCCCGAGCTGGTTGCTGGGTGCATGGTACAGGTTAGGACTTATGCCTGCTTGCACAGACTGTGTGTCTATGTGTGACCAGGAACCTGAAGTTAGGAAGAGTTTCTCATGCTCTTCCTCATGGCTGGGCAGTACAAACCTAACAGCCAACAAGAAAAACGTTGTATTCATTCAGATACATCCCTACAGGGGAAATCCCATGCTTGGTTGCTCCAAAAACCAATGGGATTTGACCAGTGCAGCTAAGCTTTGGCAAATGTTTTGTTGGGACAGTGTATGAAAGAGCCACAACATAAAACTGATGCCTATAGTCATCATCCAGCTTGTGCTTTGATATGGTACAAAGAAATGTTCATACTGTTCATCTCTCCCTATTTTGTGTTACAGTAAGTGATGACTAGGAGTGTGGGAGGAATACCCAAATGTTGGAGCAGCTCTCAGCAGAGCTGGCCAACCTGCTCCACCTTCAGCCAGAGCAGTAAGAGAAGGGCCACTGTTGCACCACTAAGCAGATTTTTTTTTTTTTTTTTGAGGTTTTTCATGTGTTGACATTGAGGTCAGACTTTGCCCTTAGAGGTTTTGTTCCCTCACGAGCAGCTGGACTTTAAACTTCAACATCTCTCA